GGGGGGTGTTCGGGGTGTTCGAAAGAACCGCCCTTTTTGTCAGAAAAAGGTCCATTCTGGGTACAATTTGATCTAGGTACACAAAGGTTTCATTATAAAAGGTCCACTTTTTCAGAAAAAAAAAATGACTTTGCTGGCTACGGGCCTGTAGTTTATATGTAACATTCAGGTAACGATAATCAAATTAATGTGCATGCACAAATCACCATGTTTTCTAAATCTTTCAGCTCACAGATTTTCAAACACGCTAATAACCAGTCTACGATTTAATGTTCAATTTCGACCCTATTATGAATTGCAAGAAAAAGCCTCGCTAAATTTGTTGGGGTTCTGCGTATAACGGCAGTGTCCATAATGTGTATATAAACGTAAATGTTGTCGAAATGAAGGTAAAAACATAGTGATATAAAGGAGAACCACCCTTCGACCCGAATTAAAGGGAATCAATTTCCAGTCCCTATATTAGATTGTATACGGCAACGTCTATGGAATGCAATATTTATGAAACGAACAGCATTTGCGCCACAATCAAAGTTGAACACCACTTTTTTTTTCCATATGATAACGCGCTCTACTGCAATTCATCATGAATGTAGTACAGTGTATATAATATGTATACGAAGACACCGTTATTCTTGAATGTAACGTCTTTATTTACAAAAAAAAAAAAAGCGTAACAGCGAACAATAATTCAACATGTGTAAGGACAAAATGTCACCAAAGAAGAAAATTGAGACATATCAGTTCCTTCCTTTTTTGAGACAGAGAAAACGACATGAAGTAATGCAGTGTACACTGTAGACTGGACGTGAATTGTAGCTTATAATGTTCATTTTCAAGAGGCTTTTTTACACAGAAAGTACGTGTCCTGCAACTTACGGCCATATCTTTTCCTACAGTTGATCGAGTCTTGACTCAATCTGTCAATTTAGACAAATAGGGTCTTTTTACATTAAAACATGTAATGTGACCACAAGTTACAAAACGAAATGAATGAATCTTTAAGAACTTTGCACCTGGTGTCTGATTTAACGCCTTACAATTTTTTGACAGACACCTCCACTTGTAAAACAAAAAACCGTCACAGTATGAAACGACCTCACCCTCATTCAAACAAAAACATCTGCCACAAGACACGCCCAATCTACAGTCTGTTGCTACTACTACAGTGACATCTGGCGGTCGTGAGTCCTTCTAGAAACTCGGACAGGAGTCGTAGAGGTTGATACACACGAAGTAGGCCTGACACCACTTGGTCGCTGGGGCGCATTTCTGAGCCCTGGGTCGGAAAATCTCGTCACATTGGATGAACATTCCTTGGTCTCCCGGCATGGGCTGGTACTCCCCGGCGTAGTTGCAGTAGGCGCCTGGAACTGAGAAAAGGGAAGCAGATAAGAGACCACGTGGGTGACAACGTCGCGCATGCGCAGTGAGTGACAGCTGAGCAGTGCACAAAAGCGATCCCTGAAAGGTGTATTGCGCGCATTTTTTTTCTTTTTAGGAATTTCGTAAATACAATCTAGGCAGATGATCCTTTCACTGCATTGCACATAATGTTTGAAAACTTTTTTCATAAATACACCACGCTGTCCTTCATGGTCTCTTGCTGCTGAGTTTTCCCAGTTTCACATAAGTCTCTCCAAAGTATTTTCTCATTCATTATTTATTTCCTGTAGGAAAGCTTATACGTTAATATTTTGCCGTTAGGACAATATGGGCATGTTGTTCAAGCAGTCTATGTAGCAATATTTATGTGTTCATCGCTTCTGCTAGTGCCCGGCATTGCCAGAATGTTGCTTGTTGGGATACGGATACCCGCAGATCCCGTAATGATCCTGATAGTAACAGAATCCGGCGCCATGCTCATCATTGGTTGTACCCTTTGCGCACGCGCTAAGCCAGCTGATCCCATTGGAACACTTCACGAAGAAGCAGCGTGGATCCGCGCCGTAAAATAGTCCAGTCCAGGACCCTGAGAGTTCGTAGTCGCCGTCGTATTTGCCATAACAAGGATCTGGCAAAGAAGGGGTGATTTACACATGATCTCAACAGCCAGATCTAACACAGAATGATAAGATACCCAAGCAACATGCTTATTCACCCCCCCCTCCCAAAAAAAATAATAATAATAATAAAAATAAGGCCACGCGCAATTTACATTTAAATTGTCTAAAAGGGACTACACGTGTTTCGCTACCCATGAGTTAAGACGTCATCAGGGTGATTGATCACGTGACTGACTGGTATCTCCAAGTGCGCCCCGAATAGTAGGTTGCCAATGCAGATTGGGTGGAGGAGGGGGGGTCAGGGTTTGGCGTGAAAACATACACATGTAGTTTTATGCCACCCTCTTCCACTGATTTCTCTAGATGTTACAAAATTTGAGGAAAGACCTCTGTTAAGTTTGAAATGACCAGACGGGGCGGGTTTCTAGACTTTCCTTTGTATTTCCCAGTTTGGAGCAGCCAAGGTGTCGAGCAGCGCATCATTGTCCGTGTTCCGTAAGTTAAGACAAATGTTGTGTATTTCAAACCTGGTCTCAGACCTGCTCCAAGTAACCGGCTGTGTGATTACACCCAACCCAAAGATTATCTCCTCTGTTGCTGGGCCAGTTTGTTAAAGGGTGTGTATGGGCAGGTAAGGGCGAGCTGGTAACATTAATGTAGATCGCTGGATCAAATCAAATCTCACAGGGGTCTTTCCTCCAACAGCTGGGGAAGGCTGAGAAGATACCGGATGGAAGGTAGTTTTATGTGGATCACCTGATCCAACCAAGACCCTTTGAGCCAAAGGTCGAAACGCCAAGCATAATAGGTTGAAAAACACGTTTAGTCCCTTTAAAAAGGTTCACTTTTATATATCATTCCAATTAATTAATATCTTATTTCATTCTAAATCCAATTTCTAAACAAAATTAGACCTTACCAACATATCCATAGTCGTTGTTGCCATATCCGTCGCCACTGTTGTGTGAGCTGTATCCGGCGTTGTGCCCGCCGCCGTATCCGCTACCGTGACTTCCGCCGTATCCGGTGTTGACACGACCGTATCCGCTGTTACCATGCCCGTATCCGGTGTTGCCATACCCGTATCCGGTGTTGCGATGTCCGTATCCGCTGTTGCTACGGCCGTATCCTGTAGAATGTCCACCGCCGTATCCGGTGTTGTGGCTAGACCCGTATCCGGTGTTGTGGCTAGAGCCGTATCCGCCCCCGTGGCCGCCGTATGTCTGATAGCTGCCATAGCCGCCCTGGTAAATTATAAAATGACTTGGATCGAGGCTTTTTACTTGGATAGTCTTATTCCTTAATGAAATACTCAAGACAGACATTGACGTAGGCCTATCTCAGATAAACAATTTTGATATTAGCTGTTGATTGGAGAAAAATATTACTACTTTATTCGGTTTTCGCTCTTATGTTTTGTATGGGAATCGTGACCGTCTCCGTTTACCCTGACACCAAATATTAAACCTTTTTAAAACACAGGGTGTTTGTTTTATGCCAGGAATCTAGGTTTTAAACCGGCACATATAATTTAACAATAGGTTAAATAGAAAAGTATTCATCATTTTCTTGACGTTAGTTAAGACACAAAATGGAGCCAGCTGCAGTGAAATGGCGTGTTTTAATGTTGTATCATTCATTAGTTATCACAACTTCCTTGTCTGAAATACGTTTATTCTTTCAGACGGCATTTACAACATTTTGCTGTAGTTCCATTCCAAGATCATTTGTACACACAACAACAAGGGTGTGGCGATCAGCACAACCAGTTTTTACTTTAATGTCTTTTAATTTTCTGGGCGCTCTTCGGGTGTACTTCAATAGCCCAAGTCTTAAAATGATTACAAAGAAAACGGTTCTAGATAAGGTTGTATACTGTCACTACTAAGACAGATTATGTACATGTAAAAAAGTAGGTTGTCATTCAATAATATATGCAGATGATAGCCATTACTTGACCTCGTATGTTAAGGTTCTTTAGGGCAATGTTTACTTTAAGGTGACCAAATCGTTTTCAAGACATTTATGAATCACAAGGTAATTACAAGTCAATTAACTGTAATTAAACACATTAAGTTACAAAGGTAACAGCCCAGTAATTATCATGTTGGTCGTAAAGTTGCACGTATCTCACACCTCACATATAATGAGTTTTAGTTTAAGATGATTTACTTCCATATACAAATTTCAATATGTTCACCAAAAACTAATGTATGCTGGTGGGTGATATAATGAACGCGTAAGCTAACGTTGTTCATTTTGGTCCGAAATGTCTGTTTTCTTAAAAGAAAAACGACATTTATGTGACCGGTTTTAATTTGCCGCAACTGTGTCTAGGCTTTTTGGTGCTTATCTCTACATGAAAGCAGAAGTAGAACCTCCGTTAGTTCCGAAGATTCCGAATGGGACAAGAGAATTATTAGTAGATGTCAGCAATCTTGTAATAAGGCCAAATGAATGCCGTTTGTTTAAAATAGCAGATACAGAATAAACGGTGCTTTTTTATAACCGTCACAATACAAAATACGTTCTTCAGAGCCAGTTTAACTCAGAGCAATTAAAGCTCCATTATTTTAACCTGCAATTTTGCAATAAGTTTAGCATTTTTGTCACTTTTTCAAAGAACCGATGTAACTTTTTTAGAGCCCGTTTTCAGTTTGGAGTAATCCAAACGACAATTAAACTTAGAGCTATATTATTTTAACACTCCAAGATATTATTAACAGTCCAATATTTTAACCTGTGTCCACTTTTCAGTGAGTTTAAGCTGATATTTAAACAACCGAGGTATCAACTTTTGATTTATCTATATATATATTTTTTTTCTTTTTACAATAGACCTGATAGTGAGTACTTACATATCCGGCGCCGTAGCGGTTTCCTCCCCCGTATCCGCTCCCGTGACGGTTACCGCCGTATCCACCTCCCTGTGAGTACCCGCCGTATCGATTGCCTCTCCCACCGTAGGAGTATGTGTGTCCGTAACTCTCGTGTCCGTGACTTCCGTAACCCTTAGCGTGCCTACGGCCTCCTGTGTAAGAAGAGCCCACTACAACAGTGGCAAAAAGCGCCACCGATACAGCCAAAACTACCAATTTGCTTTCCATAGTTCTTCTTGATGGGCAAAGTGATACCTGATCTTTACGAATCTTTCTTTTTAAATTTTTTTCTGGCAAAAATTTACGTTTTTTTCGCCAAAGGATGCTTCTGCCAACTTACAAATTATTTTCAAAGCTTCGCGAGCAGATATCTTCTTATTCCTTCCTTTCACTAAAGTAGTCGTACAGATGTGATTGTACGAAAGCAGTAAGGCTATGCAGTGATTGAACGATCTGAGCAAATCTTATATATATACAACTAAGCTGCCGCCGCCCTAATTTGCATATTGAGCTCACGCCTTCCCTCGGAATACAAGTCACGTGCTTTGGGAGGGCTGCTTCAAAAAAAGAGTGACAGATCTCTTTTAAATGAGCTTGTTTTTTTTTTTCTTTCTTTTTTTTTTAAACTTATTGTCATTGCAATGCTACTAATTGTAATTCAAACATTGATATTTAACAGCTTGAATACTTCCTGTGCACGTTAAGTACATATTGATAACACAGGATATCAAGACCTTTGCTTATTTTTAGCAACTTCGACAGAACATCCAGAAAGAATGACCAGTACACTATTGCAGGAAACATGCACATGAATTTCGACCATTATTTAGTTATCATCAATTGATTCATTGTATTAAATGAAATGAAATAATCATATCAAATGTATTAATACTTTTTTAATTGATTAATTAGTTACTTTGTGCCTAATTGTCGGTGGATTGATGAGCAGTAAGCAAGTTTTTAATCAATCAAGTTGTTTATTTGTAACAATTATTCAATTAGTAAATCAGTAATTTGGTACCGATGAACTAAGCAAATAGCAATCAACAGACAATTTATTTCAAATTTTATAAGCGTTTTAATCGATTTTCAGTATTAATGATTGAACAATGTATTAAATGAAGTAATTTATATCATTGATACATTGATACATTTTGGGGGATTATTTGGGTGATACGATGTTTGCCGTAACCCTTCACTGAACTCGGCGGTGAGTCTTAAAGTTATAAATTTTCTTCAATCAACCGCTAATGTTGAAATTGTTTTCCTCAAATATTTCCAATATGTGTTAAATTTATACTTTTCTGGCTTCAAACCGTGTGATTAGTGTTCGACTTGTATGGAACGGACGCATGCTGATAGTGCCATAGGCGAGAGGCATGTGAAATAATATTTCAGATTGTCGTTTATCATATAACCAGATGTGGTATGACAGACCATTTGTTGTGTTCTTGGTGAAACAACCAGATACAGCTCTCAGCCACATTGTGTCATATCTACAATGATAAATCTGTCTCTCAGAGTTCACATCGACCTATGCTAATAGTATTCAGGGACTTTAAAGTTGGTAATGAGGTGATATTTTTATCAGAATAAAATGTTCTTTAATACTTACATCATTTATGTGTGTAATTGTGACAGGTTCTACATATGTTGAGTCTAAAGAACTCAATTACTCGCAGTGCTTTTGCTTGCTCTATTCAACTTTTCTTATTTCTTGCAATCGGTAAAGGTGTGGGTCAAAACAACAAAAAACAAAACAGCAAAAACCAAAAAAATCAAAACATTCACAGTAGTGATAAATCGATTGAAACCGATCACTGTTGAAAACTTTCTCCTTACAAATCACCTGGCAAAAAAAAAAAAAAAAAACACTTGAATATAATTCATTGAGTAAACGTTGAAAGATATAGAAATTGACATTTTTTTTTTCTTTTTGCGGTAACTGAACCCCCAATGATTTCATCTTCCATTATGTCTTATAAGTATCACAGAGGAAAATTGACCAGGTGAAATAGAAATGGGATGGTGGTTAACGGCGCTGCCAGGCTGCCAGGTCGTCTAACTTAAGATTTCCGGCATCTTGGGTACAGCGAGCCCCGACGAATTACTGGACATTCAGTACTCTTGCAAACGGGTGCCAAACCCTTGCCATCATTTACACGGTCAGTTAATCTCTCTTCAGCGTCCATCTGGGAGTGAAATAAATTTTATAAGATTACCTGCAGATCATTACTAACTTTGACACTCCAGACATGTTAAATGGGCAGTTAGAGGGATATGTGTGTTCTTTGACAGTGTATACAGCACCTGGGTCGAGTTCTTTGCTTTCATAGTGATCACACAATTCATTGGTAGGAGTGAAAAAAACTCCCCATTGAGAGATTTACTAATAGCAATAGGATTATCGGGAAAATAAAACAAAAGCCATAAGTTGACACACTGTACTCTGGCTTTTGTTCAATGTCTTTTATTTGCCGCCCCAGACAGTAAATGAAACTACAACTTTTTCTATGAAACTTATATCTAAGAATCCATTAAATAATCTTGGGATCACATCCACTGGCCCATCGTTCCATCTATTCCATCAAATGCACATCCACGCTATTTTACCACTATCTTACAACGTACACGTGTTCTGACCAGTTTTAAAGTAACACTAGTTCACGATGAATGTGCATCAACGGACGATCAAACAATTTATTTACATTTAAGGCAAAAAAGGCGCAAGAGGAGAGATGACAGAGAAATACGACACCAACGCCTCACAGAACGTTTAATGCGCGTCTCATGGTAGATTTGAATGTATGGCAACGCGTTCTGACCCTAAAAAAATACTAAGTTAGTCCTGGTGTGACCACGCCTGGACTTGTACCTTAACAGCACACGGCAATGTTAGGAGCGGCCGTGTCATACCGTGTGATATTGTCCACATGCTTCTCTCCACACAACATGGCATCAGAGTTAACAACATGTTGGCTTTTTTTACCTCGTCACACAGCTGGCTTTGGCGGGTCACACCGCTCCAACGTGTACTAGACAGGCGCGGTCGGTTTTTACATTAATTTTGTTTTTATGTAATCTTAAATGAGCTTTAAATAACGCTTTTTATTCATCCAGAACTATTGTCACAAACTTTAATTACTCTTATAACCATGCACTTGCTGACCAACATAGGGAGTCTCCCTTTTGAGCATTTGTTCATAATCCAACATATGTACATGTACACCATGCCTCACGACTCCGATAGGTGCAAATCAAAAGGGAGGTGATTGCGTCACATTGACCAATGGCAACTCACCACTGGACCACAAGGACAAAGTAATCAGGGTAATTACTGTCTAAAAAACAGACAGCTA